CTCCCAAAGTGTTGGGATTACAGGCATGAGCCACTGCGCCCAGCAGGGCTTGTTTCTTTATAGCCATCATATGCTCACACAGCAGTTGTCCAAAGGGAGGGAGGAAAGAAGGCAAAAAGAGCTTTCTCTTTGCCCCATTCTCTCTTCTGTCAAGGAGAAAAATCTTTCCCAGAATCCCCCATAGAGTTCCCATTTGGGTTCATTGGCCAGAACTGGGTCACATGCATAACCCTGGAAAAAACACTGGCAAAACAAATGGGGTTAACATGATTAGCCTGAATCAATTACAATTCAACCCCTGAGGTCTCACACTGTTCAAACAAAGGAAGATTTCACTGCTAAATGATGAAGACTTCACTGTCAGCAAATGCCTTCAATCAGTCAAAAATTATATATTTATCCCTAAAGACACCTATAATTCCATTTTCAGCAAGTTAATACATTGAACAGGGACATGCAGTGAAGTAGAACAGAAATCAAAATACAAAAGATAGATAAAATATTAGCCTTGATAGTTGGAGCTTTAATAAAAGGCCAAACAAGCTTTATTCTTACTTTTAAGATAATTCTAAGTGTGTGATATTTACCATAAAGGCTTCATTAGTGAATGTTAGAGATTTATCATTTTCCTTTCATGTAATGACCTTTACCATTAGTGAGTGACATTTGTTAAATTAAATCAACAAGTTCTCCAAGAAGAAACATGAAATTGTAGAGAAGTGTCTAAATGTTAATGTTGCAAGCCCATGAATAACCTTTAAGTTGTCTCTGCAGAGGCTAATTCATCATTAAATACGAGCAGTTCACTAGCACTGAGGATACCAGGAACACCTATTTTCTATGAGATCATCACCATTATTCAGATTCTACACAAGAATTTTTCAACAACCTATTTATGAGTCTACCTAACCGTATCATCAAAAAGGACTTACCAAGTTCTTACTTAAATACAGCTATACTATTTCCCTGCTGTACCAAATCACAATCATATATATATATACACACACACACACACACACACACACACACATATACACACACACACACATATGTTTATACTGGAATTTTTTTTTCAAAAAAAAAAAATTGGATGGAGTTTTGCTCTTGTCACCCAGGCTGGAGTGCAGTGGCACGATCTCCACTCACTGCAACCTCCACCTCCTGGGTTCAAGTGATTCTCTTGCCTCCGCCTCCTAAGTAGCTGGGATTATAGGCGTGCACCAACACGCCCGGCTAATTTTTATATTTTTAATAGAGATGGGGTTTCATTATGCTGGCCAGGCTGGTCTCAAACTCCTGAATTCAGGTGATTCACCTGCCTCAGCCTCCCATAGTGCTGGGATTACAGGCATGAGTCACCGCACCTGGTCTGGAAAGATATTTTTTTTTCTAAGACAACTGGTGCTGACTCCCAGCAATCAGCTTTTCCTCTTCTAGTTTCCTGCTAATCATTCATTTGGTAACTGCCCATAGCGCTGCCTTCACTGAGCTCTGTGCCATCAGTTACAGGGGGTTCTCCTTAGAGAGGAACAGAGTTGTCCCTCCGTGCTTTCCTGGAGCAGTCACATTCTCCACAGTCCTCAAATATCACATGGACTGTGGTTCACTTGGGTGTATTAAGTTGTTCTTGCATTGCTATAAAGAAATACCTGAGACTGGGTAATTTACAAAGAAAAGGGGTTTAATTGGCTCATGGTTCTGTAGGCTGTACAGGAAGCACGATACTAGCATCTGCTCGGTTCCTGGGGAGGCCTTGGGAAGTAAAATCACAGCAGAAGGCAAAGAGGGAGCAGGCACATTACATGGCCAGAGCAGGAGCAAGAGAGTGAGAGGGGAGATGCCACACGCTTTTAAACAACCAGATCTCGCAAGAACTCATCCTCAGGAAGACAGCACCAAGCCATGAGAGATCTGCGCCCGTGATCCCAACGGCTCCCTCCAGGTTCCACCTTCAGCATTGGAGATTACATTTCAACATGAGATTTACAGGACAGAGATCCAAACCGTATCACTGAGCCATCCCTGTTTGGGTCTGTCCTCAGACAAAATGCTTCTGGAAAAGGAGCTCAGATCCTTTGTGTCCATATTTGTTTCACTCTGAAATATCCTTAGACTTCACACAAAGCAATGGAAGCAAATGAAGGCTGTGTTGTCTCTTTCTGACGCCTCAGCTGATACGGCCTGCCCAGAGAATGAAACTCTACACTTCCTGTACATTTTCTTGATACAAATATGACATTTAAAAGAATAATAATTTATTTGTTTTCTTTTGTTCAGAAAATGAAACGCCTCTGACAAATCTGTAATGACCCTGAATTCTGGATGATGAAACTGTGTGGTCTCATATTCCATGCTCTACTCTCCTGTGCTTTCACAAGCTTTTAATATAAACAGGGCCTTTGGAATCGTTAAGGTTTTTTTTTTTTTTCCCCCAGTGGAAAACTAGCAGTTTTGAATTCCCACTACTCATTCAGAAAATACTTAAGCACTTACTATCTGCCAGATGTTGAACAAGACACTCAACAAACGCCATCTCTAACCTGTTGGTAATGATTGTTAACCATTTAGGCATTTTCTGCATTTTTCTGTTGAGGGAATGAATGCACAGAGAGCTTAATGAACCTGCTCAGGGTCCCAGAGACAATAACTAGAGGTACCAGAAACCCATATGACTGCCCAGTTTGGGTTTTAGTGTACTAACACTACTTCTAAGAATTGTGTCACTTTGTTCCTACGAAGGTCTCAAGAATACTAAATGGGGAAAGGAGATCCTCTTCAACAAATGACAATGGGAAACCTGCATACCCACATGCAAAAGAATAAAACTGGATCCTTATCTTCCATCATACACAAACCTCAAATCAAAATGGATTAACGACTTAAACCTAAGACCAGAATCTGTAAAACTGCCTAGAAGAAATCAGAAGGGCAAAGCTCTATGATATTGGTCTGGGCAATGATTTTTGGGAATGACCAAGAAAGCACAGGCAATAAAAAAGCAAAAATAGACCAACAGGATCACATCAAACTAAAAAGATTCAGCAAAGCAAAGGAAACAATCAACATAATTAAGAAACAACCTATAGAATGGGAGAAAATATTTGAAAACCATGTATCAGATAAAGGGTTATCATTGAAAATATGCAAGAAACACAAAAGACTCAATAGCAAGAAAACAACCTGATTTTTAAGTGGGCAAAGGACGAGAAAAGACATTTCTCAACATAAGAGATGCAAATGGTCAATGAGTACATGAGAAATGCTTAACATCAGTAGTCGTCAGAGAAATGTACGTTAAAACCACAATGAGATACCATCTCACACCTGTTAGAATGGTTGTATCAAAAAAATGAATGATAACAAGTGTTGGTGAGGATGTGGTGAAAAGGGAACCCTTGTATACAGTTGGTAGAAATGTAAATTAGTACAACCAGCATGGAAAACAATACGGAAGTTACTAAAAAAAAATAAAAATAGAACTACCATGTGATCCAGCATTCCCTTTACTGGGTGTCTATCCAAAAAAAATTAAAATCCGTGTATCAAAGAGACATCCACACTCCTATGTTCAATGCAGTATTATTCACAATAGCTAAAATATGAAATCAACCTAAGTATCTCTCAACAGATGAATGAATAAAGAAAATGTGGCATATATACACCATGGATTATTATTTAACCTTAAAAAGAGGGAAATCCTGTCACTTGCGACAACACGGATGAACCTGGAGGACATTACGTCAACTGAAATCAGCCAGGACAGAAACACAAATACTGCATGACCTCACTTATGTGTGGAATCTAAGAAAGTCTAACTCCAAGAAGCAGAGAATGGCATGGTGGTTACCAGAGACAGGGATGGGAGGGTTAGGGGGATGTTGATCAAAGAATACAAAATATCTGTTAGACAGGAGTAATAAATTCAAGAAGTCTATTATACAACATGGAAATATAACAACAATGTACTGTATTCTTAAAAATTTTAAATAAAAATATGTAATTTTTTTTTTAATTGTGCCTCTTGGTAATACTTTGCCTTGCTTATGTGGCCCTCGCCTACAGTTAGCACATATCATTTTTATTCTGGAGCTCAGCGATACATTTGGTGTTTCTAGAGTGGTGGCTTCGGGCTTCAGCACTTCCTGGTTACCGTCTTTATCAGGATCACTCATAACTGAGGCGACATTTCACTTTTAGTGTGTTTCAGTTGCCCCCAAGAGTACATCTCTGAGGCAAAACCACCCACAAATTCAGAAAGGCAAAAAGCCCAAGAGGCATGGGGCAGCTAATCCCAGTTGAGAGACGGCAGCAGGCTTCCCTCTGGCCCCAGCACTGCTTATCCGAGGCTCCTCCCTCCCTCTCCCTGCTTGTTCTCAGTCCTGGGCTTTGCTCAGGATGACAATGGTAAACTCCACAACGACCCCATAAGCCCCACCAATGATCCCTCTTTTGCTCTACAACTTCAGCTCTGACATTTGGCAAATTTCCTGTCCCCTGTTTCAGTTCCTCTCTCATTTTCTATGCTCAGAACTCTCCCATCTCCTGTGTGCTACCAACAAAATAAAACAACAAAACCGCCCTCAAAAATCTGTCATTCTCTTGGACTGGCATTACCCTTAGTGTTTTGGACGATGAAAGCACAACTGTTTGTTGCACCTTTTTGTTTTTATTTTGTTTTTAATTGGCAAATAAAAGTTGTATACGTTTATGGTGGGGAGGTCGGGGAAAGGGGAGATGGTTGTCAAAGAATGCAAAGTTTCAGTTAGATGGGAGGAATCAGTTCTGGTAGTTTATTGCAAAACATGGTGACTATAGTTAATGTACTATGTATTCCAAAACATCTCAAAGAAAATATTTTAAGTGTTCTCACTACAAAGAAATGATAAATATTTGAGATGCTGAACTTTTTAATACTTACATTCTTAAGTTTTTCAAGGCTTTTCTAGTAAGTCTGGCATTCCCGCCCTTGGCAGTGTGAGATGGAAGATGATGTCGCAAGGGTGGCGGAGAAGCAGCTGGGCTGAGCTGTTAAAAGCACAGAGACCGGGGCCAGACTCCTCAGCCTGAAATCCTGCCTCCACCAAGCACTAGCTGGGTAATTTCAGGTAAGTTGCTAAGGCCTTCTCTGCTTTGGTTTCTGTTTTATATAAAATTGGATTAGATATAGGAAGATAAAATGAGTTAATACTTGTAAAGTGCTTAGAACAGTGTCTGGCATGTAGCAAGTACTACATAGTGTTTGTGAAATACATTTTTAAAAGAAGAAAAAAGAGAGAGAGAGCTTTGAACTGTTCCAGAACCAAAAGAAACTGAGTTATTAATCCAGAGTTGGGTGTTGCTGAAGTGTTACTTTCTGTTACATGTGGAAGGGGTAAGTTACTCCCCTTATCATGACATCAGGCTGTGAGGACGAAGAAAGGTAGCTGTGGTTGGACAGAGGGAGACAAGATTGGAGCCCCAGTTATCTCACAGGGACACAAGGCAGTCACAAAAGGGAAAAATGAGGCAGAGCAGCCAGAAACCAAACCAGAAATGAGAAAAGAAAGAAGGTGTTGATAGCTCGCTTCTGCCGACGGCTGGTTTCTAGGAAGAAGCCATGTAACTGAAGTTATCTTTTCAAATGGTTTACACACTCATTCTCTTTTCATTTACAACTTGTGTAAAATTAAACTATTTTTATTCGTACTGTGGGTAAGTGCAGCTTAACAATGGGTCATGCCAGCACTTATTAGTGCTAAGCTACCCCAAGCTCAGCAAGATGCATTTCAGACACATAATCTCATTTAAATACAGCAATATTGCAACAGAAATGCTGTGGTCTGCATTTTGCCCATGAAGCACTGGAGGCCCAGGAAGGTCATAACCTCTCTCAAAGTCAGAGGGCTAGTCAGAGCAGAGCTGAAATCCAAACTCATAGCCACCTGCCTCCACAGTGCACTCGCAACTGCTCTGCGAAACTCTGCATCTTAAGGTCTTATGCAGCAAGTGCTGCGAAGTGGGAAGAGCTCTAGATTAGGAGGTAGGTGGGTCGCCCTTGGCTCCTGCTGGGCCATAAACCAGCTACTCACTTTGTATTTGAATCAGAGCAAGAAAATCCTGAGACTGTGCCTGTCATATTCAAGATAGAAATTGTGCAACTCTGTAAGGATAAGCAAGAGTTTTGATTTATTTTTATCATATTTTATTTAGTATCTGATTTTGCCAAGTAAGGAAAACTTTAACCTGGAGGCGAGTGGGTGTTAGTTGCGAGTGGGTGTTAGTTACGAGGGGAAAATAAGGAATCGGTTCAATCAGAAATGATAAAGTAGTTCAGTGGAGAACTATAAGAAACAAATTCTCATTTCTTCATGGCTACACAGAGAATACTGTTTCAGAGTCAATCACGATGAAAATTAAACATGGGACTTCCCAGGAAACTGTCTCATGAATTACCAAAGGAGATGAAGCAGGAGGGCGGTGGATCTGTGGCTGTTGTCGCCTGTGTGCACCGGGGCTCTCCGCTAGGGGGCAGCACCCCACCCTCCCTGATCTCCAGCTCCCAAGCAGGTGCAACCCCGCGCAGTGTATGGAACTCACTTCAGTTCACAGGGGAGAAATTAGTATCCCCTTTAGCCCACATATAAAACCCTATTCTTCCATCTGGCTTTGATAAGTCATAAAGCCAGTATTTTGATCGTTCCCAGGCTTCTATATGTCTCTTAATTGGCTCTGACCCCAGGAAAAAAAGAGATGACTATTAACAGTAGCAACAACTAACACATGATTTATGCTAAATTGTGCCCTTGAACTTGGCTTCTTGCAACATGCATATTGATTTAAGTATATGTTAGCAAAATGAATTTTATTGGATATTTTAAATACAAAAGAAAATGTAAAATGTGTCAATTTCTGACTCCCCGAGTAATCCCAAGGAATATTCTGAACCCGTATAACATTTATACTGCAGTTCATCAACGTTAGTAGTTCATCTCATCACTCGGTTCTAATGAAGGTCTAGGTCCCTGTGCTGATTTTTATTTCAGTAAATTTTAGAAGTTCCTGTGCCCTTTCTTTTTCCCAGTAATGTGTTGGTATTCTGCTGATGTCTAATTATTCTTTCAGCATTCTTCTTTGAGAGGAGCAATGTTGCTGTAGTTTTTCTAACAGACCATTTAAATGATAATCTCTTTTAAAATTGACATTTTTTTTACTCTGTTGATTTAAGTGCAAGTACTTGAATATACTTTGAGAAGGCATCATTGCAGACTCTGAGGGCTTGTGTGCCAGCTGGGGTTGATCACAAACAACGGAGTAAGGCCTCCCCATAAGACCTCAACCCTGTTTTGGGAATGGTTATGATGATAAACCATTCTGGGCATTCTCACTCTGCCTAATTAGGAATTCATATTTATTTATCTGACAGACACTGGTCCCAACTGCTCTCAAGTGTCCCCCCTACTAAGCACAAATTAATTGAATGGGGCAACCTTATCAAGACCACGTGCATAACGGGAAGTGGGAATGGGCCACTAAGTAGCATCTAGGAAAAGATTTATTGGGTTATGCTATTAAGTTTTTTAAGATTAAATCAATCTATTTAACACCTGACAAAAATCTTCAAAAAGATCAAATAAGAACACAATGCTACTGCAAAGGCAGCAACCATAGAACCTGAAACTACTTATGATCGTAAAGGTAGTAAGCAGCTACCAAAACAGACTTTCTAACTATTTCTGAGATTCTTTGATATGAATAGAATTCTGGCAAACTAAACTTTCTTGTTAGTTAGACAGCACTCCCTGCTATTTGTATACTTAGCATCACCCACTCAAGCCAGTTTTGCAAGATGTTTCTGTTTTAAGTTCCTGTCCAGGAGAAACTAGATGGATCTTAAACAGAAAGTGGAGACACAGAAATATGAAATAGCATTTTAAAGGAATATGCATATAAATTCAATGTATATACAATGATTGTAAGACATATATGTCTCCCTTACCAGGATTAATCAAATAAACAGGCACAAAAGTAGTCTTGCAGAACTTGTTCTTTTTATTTCCCTTCTTTCAATGACAATTTCTTCCTCTTGTTACAGGCAGTATTCGTTCATGACATTTAATTCCTTAAATATATCAATAACACATTTTTAAAATGAGTATTCAATTATTAAACAACAAGAAAAAAGGAGGGAAAAAATTAAAAGCCTAAGTGACTTTAAAGAATTTAATTCCTTCTTGAGTCTATTTGATTACATTCAATCATCTAGTCCCTGTGCGGAAACAATTCTGAGGAAGTAATCCAGGCAGTGTTTCCCAGCTGATTCAATTTAGTTAATAACTGGAGTTGTCAATCAATCAATCAAATACCAATTAATTCATAAGGCCGCTGGAAAGAAAGTTTAGGGAAAATTTTATATTCTACCCTGGGAAGTACATTTACATTATCAATGTTTGTATTAATCTCATGTACGTTTCCTGTTATTTTTTAATCTTCACCTTTGATTAATTTCTTATTTAAACTGCCTTCTAATCTCATCAGTTGCACAAGTCAATATCCAGTGTTGATTAGTGTCTGATGAGCTCAACTTCGGGATAGCTACTGCTCTGCTGTGTTTCATGTCTTAAGAGAAGAAACAAGATCTATCGCTCATCAGAATTGCAACCAGAGAGAATTCTTCAGAGTACTCATTTGAAAACTCTATGTAGCATGATGAATAATGTTTTTCATAAAGTTTTTATAACCATAAACCCAAATTTCATAATGTTGCTTCTTGTAGAGTTTGTCAATTCAAGCTTTACATTCCAAGTTCACTACAAGAAAAACGAATTCACTAAAAGACAAAAACAAGGCAGTTCAGGTTCTCTGCAACTGACCAGGGTAAGCAGGGGTAAGCTCTCAGGTAGGTACTTTGTATCTTTACATTCTCTCTTTTCATAAGTTTTACCATATATATTTCACATAAATTTTTGGAAAAGTGTTTCTCCTGCTAGCAGAGTTAGCCACTTATTGATGCTCAGCTCCAAATTCACCCTTTTTGCTTGCTCTGTGAAAATGGTTCTGAGCCACTTGAATATTTTCGCTTTGCTAACTGTTACGATGTTACGCTTTGTCAGTAAAGGCCGCGGGTGAGATACTGCGGGCGTGTTTTGCTTCCTGCTCTAGATAGGTTCCTGCCGGGCAGGCAGCTCACCCATACTCCCAGGCTCCTGTAGGGCAGGGCAGCCAGGGGTGCCTGGCACCCAACAGCCACCTCCTGCGGTCTCTCTTGGGCACTGGGGGCAAAGGCTCAGGGCCTCCGGGGAAATACATTCCCACAAACAGCTTCCCTTGTCACCTTAGAAGGAATATCTCCAGTGAGTTCCAGAGGGTGGATTTCCAGCAAGACCTGCCAGTGCCTCACCACAGTCACCCGTCTGCCATCCAGTGGCACAGGGTTGTGCCCTCCCAGTGAGGTCTGGCTCTCAGCCCAGCCCTTCCTCAGGTGCTCATCTCAGGCCTGGGGGAGGGGCAGCTCCTTCCAGCTGCTATGCCAATATTCCTTAGAACCCTCTAGTTCTTATTAGCCAAACTCTCCTTACTCCAATCCCCTGTTACAGTTAATAATTCTTTATGTTCAGCTTTTCCTGTTCAAATTTCTGGATGATTTCTCTCTCCTAACTGATGCTAACTAATAATGAGTAATGCTAAAGTCATATCACACTAACACCACTTAAAATTAACCAAAGTTAACTAAAGGATTATCCTTACCTGTTATCCTTTTATTACTGTCATGATAATTTTATTTTAACACCAGGAAAAAAATTAAATTTTTGAAAATTTTAATTACATGTCAAATATTAGTGGTAAATATTTTTTAGAGTAATTAAAAAGGTAAACACTTAAGAATTTTTATTTTGTCAGAAACTGCAGCATGAGTTACACAAATATTAACTTATTTGGTTCTATTTTTTAAAAAACTTCAAGGTATATTGTTGGTGTCCACTTTATAGACAAGGTAACGGAGCCTAGATGTTAAGTAACGTGCTCAAATTCACATAATCCATAAATGGTCAAGCCTAGATTCAAAGCCAGACTCTCCAGAGCTCCAGAGTTCTTTCTTAACACAACTCAAAGAATCATGGCAGCTTCTGCGGAAAGTCTATGAGTCAGTCATTTTCCGCATCAACACAACAGCAGTTGTGCTTCAGGTCCGGAGTTGCTTTCTCTCCTCCTCTGTTAATTTTAATCTCATTCCTTGAATATATATGCAAATTAATAGGAACTCAAGTTTACAGCTATCTTGGTCAACTCTAATCTCTTTTTTAGGGCGGGGGAGTTAGGGAAGTGGCAAACTTATATTTAAAAATAATACTGCTTCGCATTTTTCCTTTTCACATTTACATCTCTGTACTAACATTTTGCCTAGTGATCCCTAGTTGACAGTGAAAAACCGATTTTATATTTTATCCATACTTCCCCGTGGAAACAAACATTTCCTCTGATTACCTATATATAAAACATTCCCCTGAGGAAAAAACTTAGGAATCATCTTTTGGGTTGCTAAAATGTTCATAGGCCTTCCCATCTCTTACGGAGAAGATAAACATTGAAACCTTGTTTGTTTAAAAATGGCAAAATCCATAAAAATCAAAGACAAATATCCATAACTTGAAATTAAAATGAGAATTCTGTATTGCTGGGTTTGAATCTGACTACTTCTTGGTCATTGTTAAATGCTTACTCACACGTCTCATAACACCGTCACTGAAAACTCAATACAGAACTCAAGGTAACATCACAATGCCCCCTGAGAACGAAGAAAGGGTAAAGAGTGCATATTTCCTGTTACCGTTCTCTTTCCTAAGAGAACAATGACAAAACCATAGGAACTAGAGGATGGCTCAAGGAATTAAACATCTTTACACAGAAGGAAGAAAAGAAACAAAACAAACACCTACTTGGCAAGGCCATCTCATCAAAACAGTCTAATATGTATAAAAACATCAATCCACTCAACATTCTCCCCAAGACAGCCGTGAGGAGGCAGGAGCTTACTGATTTCCTCTGCTCTCCTCCACATAGCCTGTTCAATATCATTAAAACTTTTTCATTATTTTGGACTTGGAAATCACATTTTACTTTGTTCTTAGGGGAACGGCTATAGATTCTAACACTGAAGCTTCAAAATGCTAAGCTAATGACTAGGCTAACTGAACTAGTGAACAAAACAGCCCAACTCCTGCTTCATCCTCATTCCTCTGTCAGCCTTAAATAATTCTTTTCAGCAAAGCCAAGATAGGAGAAACAAATAGCCCCTTTCAAAAAACTGTTTTATATCTGCTGCTCACCTGCTTTTAAATGACTCAGAGCCATCCAATTTGAATTGCAAACCATGGGAAACGTTGCCAGGCTTTACTTGTAAAGCAGAACATACCTTATGTGCTCTCACATAATATAACAATAATTAGTCATTTAAAATCAACCAAGTGTTCTAGTTGTTTAAGAAGAATTTTATTCAATGACAATGTACATAATTTTAGAGACCAAACCACAGTGACTATGAAATATAAAATAGCTTAATCCAAGCTTCTGCTACGATGTAGACATTTTGAAATGCTTTTAAAATCTGGTATCTAAAGTCTATTCAGAAAATTATAGTCATATGCTTGAGTACTCACCATGTCTTAGAATTTTTGATTAAAAGTAGCTTGTCTCCACGAAATGGATTCCACATTATTGGTGACCTACATGACAAAAGAAAAAAAATCAAGTTCAGAGGATAATTGAATGACGTGTAAGCTCAGCGCTCCATGGTTTATTACTGAAGTCCGGTTCCGTACACTTCAAAATTTAACTCTGTGACCTGAGAGCTTAGGAGTAGAGTAACTTCAAAAGCATTAATTCTGCATATTTTACATTAGAAATTCATAAGATTTTTCCAACCTTCCTCTTATGTGAGTCTGTTTTGTTTTATTTTGTTTTTCAATGGAGAAAAACTCCCCAGATCTTCAAATACAATCAGCTCTCCACCAAGATGTTCTTTGTTTGTGCTGTGGTTTCTCATCTCCTTGGGGAAACCACAGCACCCCCATTTGAGGAATACAGTTGATCAAGTCGGGAGGCCAACAGCTGTCTTTGAAAGAATTGTCTAGTGCTCTGGTAAGTTTTATTTTTCAGTATATTAGGTACCAATAATCCCCATTTTTAAAAGCTGTTCATATGAGCAATAATCCACAGGGAGAAAACCCAAAAATTAATCCATGTGTCCAAACAGAGCAGTCAGGTGTGGGATTCCTGACTGTTCTATCAGGCACTGGCCTTACCTGACCGCTCCCCACACACTGCACAGTCTGGGAGCCACGCCCTACCTCCAAGGCTTCACAGGGAGTGCAGTGTCACCAAACTACTTCTGTGTCCTCAAATCCAGGAGAGAGTACCACATTTTCAAAGGAATGCTATCCAACGACTAGTTGTTTAACATTTTTCCATTTTCAGTGTCAAAAGCCTAGCCTGTCTTCTTATAAAGGGCCCAGCAGAGTGTCTGGCACACAGCAGAATGCTGAGGTTCAGGAGTTATGGACAGCTTCAGCCCCAATATAGGTGAGGTCTTGCAGAGGCTACCTAACTTCTGTAAGCCTCAGTGGACTGTTCTGAGGAGTAATGAGGTCACGTACAATGGCACTTGGTGACTATAATTATGTTTACCCTTATCAATGGCACCTTAATGGAGCAGAGGACGCAGGCAAGATGCCCCATACCCCAAGCTGAGGAGTTTGAACCTGGTCTCCCAGCTGTGACCCACCACTCCAGTCTGCCTAAGACAGAAAGGCCTCCCTGGATGTGGGATTTCAATGCCATAAGTGGACCAGCCCTAAACAAACCAGGTTGGTGGGTCACCCTCACTCCAGATAACAGTAAGATGGGAAAAATGTGTAGAATGGGGTTGAACTGTATGAAACTGCTAAAATTTGACCATTTTCAATCTACCAAAATGGCAAAATTGTACACCTTAACCAAATGATGACCAACTCCAAAAACAGTTGATCTGGCTGGGTGTGGTGGCTTACACCTGTAATCCCAGCACTTTGGGAAGCCAAGGCGGGTGGATCACGAGGTCAGGAGTTCAAGACCAGCCTGGCCAACATGGTGAAATTCTGGTTCTACTAAAAATACAAAAATTAGTTGGGTGTGGTGGCACGCACCTGTAATCCCAGCTACTTGGGAAGCTGAAGCAGAACTGCTTGAACCTGGGAGAAGGTTGCAGTGAGCCGAGATTGCACCACTGCACTCCAGCCTGGGCAACAGAGCAAGACTCCGACTGGAAACAAACAAACAAAATACAAAAATAGAAAATCCGTGCGCTGTCGCCCAGAGTGCTGATTCCTCCTCCATAACACACTGGTAGTAACCATTCATTCTTTGTGTTCTGCTGGTGTTGACATCTGAATTCTCTGGAAGAATTTAAAGATGTACATCCCTGGTGGGGTGGCCAAGTTAATGGGGGAAAATAGTAAGAGCTATTTAAAGCATCCTCTTGTCCAGACTCTGCAGGCCTCAAATATGTTTTTTGGAAGGAAAGATCTGTCTTTGAACTTCCCAGCTAAACAAAAGCTAAAGTAGGATTTTCTGAAGGAGCAAGTGTTTAATAAGTGAGATGGGCAAACCTGACCAGCTCCAGCAGGTAGTGTCAAAGGGCCATTAGTTGAGGTCACATTCATAGCGCCTGCCAGGTGATTTTGATGCTCAACTCACACTGAATTTCGAGGCACTAACACTTCCCCTCTAGGTTGTCTTTTGAAATATGGTGCCTTGCCCACATGGACTTGAAATTCCTGGACTGTCTACACCACACACATGCATCAGACCAATGTCAATCAGTTTTAAGTTACAAAGAATCTGGCAAAAAAAGAAAAAGAAAAGAAAGAAAGAAACACCACCTTTGTGAATCTCTCTTACAGCAAAATTGAAAAACACAGGAAGACGGGCAGCAACTGAACTTGAATTTTCAACTTGTTTTGATGTGATGTAAACAGCCGGAGTTTGTGGCGTTCACTTTTTCTGAAATTTAATTCTTGGTTTCCTTTGAGTAGAAGGCATTACAGTTGATGTTCAACTATAAAATGGATTTATGGTTTCCACAAATCACTCCCTGGGGCCTTTAAGCAACAGAAGCCCAGTGAGGCCGTGAGGAACTGTGGCTCAGGCAATGGCTTGATGTGATTCAGACTTCCAGCGGTCTCTGAGCTACCTGGAGCGTGAGAACAGGAGCCTGTGAGCCGCAGGGATTTGTGAGGCCTGGCCCTGTCTTCAGCTGATAAGCAGAAGACTCTTCATGGGTGTCCAGCCATCCCATCAGTTTTCATCACCAGTTATTAAAAAACCAGGGACAGGGCCAGGTACAGTGACTCACACCCGTAATCCCAGCACTTCGGGAGGCCGAGGTGGGTGAATCACGAGGTCAGGAGATCCAGACCAGCCTGGCCAGCATGATGAAACCCCGTCTCTACTAAAAATACAAAAAAATTAGCTGTGCGTGGTGGTGCACCCCTGTAGTCCCAACTACTCTGGAAGCTGAGGCAGGAGAATCGCTTGAATTAGGAAGGCAGAGGTTGCAGTGAGCTAAGATCATCCCACTGCACTCTAGCCTGGCAACAAAATGAGACTCTGTCTGAAAATTAATTAATTAATTAAAAAATAAATTAATAACCAGGGACAGAGGTCTTTCATGTGCAAAGGCCAGATGGCTTATCTGCTGCAACTTCATGCAGGCAACAGTGATTTCCAGTTCTCACAAACACAAAATCCTTCACTTTGAAGCCAGCCCACAGCCATTTCCACCATTTTCTTTCCTTTCAGCAAATGTGTGCTGTCTTCTGAGTCTGCTTGTCCGCTCCCTGGATGTGTCACCTTGGAAGGTTTATTTATCTCCTCTGATCCCAGTCATTTTCCTGATTTGAAAAATACATCAGTGGACAGGAGAACGTGTGAAGACTGAATGAACTAATGCAGTGAATAAACTTACAGCAACGACTGGCACAAAGTGAGTTTCCAATGAGAGATGGAGATATTATTATTCTTCTATTCATAACTCTCAAGTTCAGCAATTCTAAACTTTTAAAATATAAGCTTTTTTATCATTGAGATCTGGAAAGGCCAACAGATCAGGAGACAAGTGCCACTGAAGAGATAGTTCATTACTCACAGGTCCCAAGAGGACGGGGTGCACTACATGGGGGCAGTGAATAGAGTGAAGCGTCAGGGTCAGTCTGGAGGTGGGTGCAGGAGCAAAGCACGAGTAAGAGCCTTTACTGTGGTTTCTATGGGGAACACAGGCAAGGCAGGATACGCAGGCTTAGGACTGGCTGGTTTGAATCATTTCAGGGCTCTCAGGCCTTAGGGGCTGTCCTTAGCTATCTGGTCCCTGTCCTCGGGTGATTAGGGAAGGGAACACTGGCCCAGAGTGTGAAACCCCATAGAGGAGGTGGTGGGAGTAGGCTGTGGATTGGTTGTTTTGCATATGAAAGGCAAGTTCTCAGAGGAGTTGTGTGTGATCTCCGGGAATTAGCTACCCACTTCACACTTCATACCATCAAAGTATGAAGAAAAGAAAAGGCATGGTGAATACATAAACTTTCCTTCCATACCTTAGGAGACCTGCATATCTGAGTTCACATTAGGCTTCTCCTCACCCACCTTCCCCCGAATCCTCAAAGCCATTACATAGGACCTCTTGCAAATATACGGTCTCCCAGATTGTAGAGGCCAGCTCAGGGCAAAAAGAAATGCTCAGAAAAGTCTGTTGCTTTCTTCTTCTTTCTGAAATCCAGAGGCATCAGTCCTGCCATGGTTCACACCAACACTGAACCCTTGCCTGGAGGTGAAGTGAGAGACTGGCCTCCAAGAGTGACACATACAGACAGTAAGGCAGGCCCAGCATTCATTTTTCAAGATATATTATTTCAAGATATTTCCCTTTAGTGAGATGTGGTAGTGATAGTTAATGATGGCTCCTCTTCCTGCTCAGAGTTCAGAAAGAATCCAGAAAGAGACAAAAACATCAGGTTTGTTGTGAGTGAAGCAGAACTGGAAACATTTTGCGTCTGGGGACGTAATAGAGCATTTACATCCTCCCCTCCAATTGCCCTTTCCCATGGGCTGACAGACAGACCACTGCAGACCTCTCCATAGGGAGGGAAGAAGGAAGTGTATGGCCCTGGATAGGCTGTTCTGGAAAAGAGACCACCCCAATGATAGGAGCCATCCAGTTCCAGCTCCTTCCCACAGTTTCACATCCGACCCCATGCTCCCCTCCCTTGGGGATGATGAGTGCGGGGCAAGGAAAGGAAGGGAGGGACTTCTTTATTAGCATGGGCCAACCTGGGATGATGGGGAGAGGAGAGAACAATGTTTCCTACCAATGTCTGAGTACTTACTGAGGGCAGGGCTTTGGGCTGGGTCCTGCGGCTGCAGAGATCAATTAGGCAACTCTCCTTTCCTAATACTCATGGGCTGGCAGGGGAAAGAAAGGAGCCTTTGAAACAAGTCACTCTTGGCCACTGCAGTTCACATTTGGTATGTATTAAAGGGGACAATGCTGTGGATATTCCAGATTTGTCTAATCTCACAGTTGCCTACTCCCACTTCCTGAGACCTCCAGCAGGATGGCTGTCCATCAACACACACACACGCGCACACACACACACACACACACACCCGATAGTCCACGGTGTAAACCAGGTTCTCCCAGAATCACAGAAAGGCCATTTTAAAAAGCGACATTGAGCTCTTTTTATGTGCTGGTCTGCAGACATTCAAAGAAGTATTAAGTACAATGCTTGCCTTTTAGAAATGAAAGAAAATGTAAAACAAGATCAACATTATTTCTAAGGTAACCATGATACAGGCAAGTCTGTGGTAAATGTGTACAGAAAATGCAGGTAATGAGAAGAAGGAAAAACTATCAGAGACTGGCATCATGCACACAGGCTTCCTGGAGGAGTTGGGTCTCTGTCTAGACTTTGAAGAATGTGTCTAGACAGAGAAAGAGAAACTTTCCAAAGAAAAGAAACAGCTACTTGAAAATCCCTGATATGGGAGGGTTAAAGGCACATGGGGAAGGCCTCAAAGTTGGGTAGGTATTTCATCAAGGCATGGGCAACATGTGAGTGTGGCTACTTCTCAGACTGTGGATAGCAGTTTGCTGGCTTTTCAAGGTCAGAAGGGACTTCCACTCTGCCGGCTGACAGCCTGATAACCTCCAGTCTCTGACCTCAGAGGGTGGGCACACTGGAGGAATACTTAACACATCTGAGGCCAGAGGAGAAAACACGCAGAATCCTTCAATGGTCCAAGCAAGCCTGAGCCTGGCAAAGACTTTGCAGTCAGATCCGCCACACTGTTGCATTTGCTACCTCAGCTGGCTGCTGTCACTGAGTCCCACTGGGCACAGAGACAATCCCATTGACACACTCCTGCCTCTCTTACAGGACAAGAATGGAAATGGCAGCACACGGTAGTCACCTCAGAACCACTTTCAAAAGGAGAGCCCGCACTGTTGTGTCCCCAGGACACCAGGGACTGCATGGGCACCTTTTCTGTGCTCCCCATCATCACCTAGGCAACCCACCTATCCTTTCTTGGTGAAGATGAGCCTCTACCTTTTGTGTATTCTCCCTTTGTGTTTTCATCTCACATGCCCTTCCTCGTCTGAAGTCTTGTGTTGAGGACAAAGCAGCCTAAGACGACTGATGCAGTCTAATAAACTGCACCAAGACAAGTGCTCGGCAGCAAATCTATTTTCCTGACAGTTGTAAGATGCAATCTCCTTGTTGTTGGAGGGTGTCATGCACAGGGCTGGGCTCCTCCAGTCTGCACATCCTCCAGAGCATTGCAGTGTGACAGCCTTCATTAGAAGAGAAACTAACCCCTGGACAAAATATTGCCACCCTGGAAATTCGGCTCTGTGGGGTGCCATGAATATCTTACCTTCTGACAAACAAGTTTCCTCCAGAACTGACATATTCTTGGCCATGTGACATGATCTAAACTAAGTTTCCTGGTGTTTTTTTTTCTCTTTTTAATTGAGGTTTTGCCTGACAATCTAGAAACTGAACACACTCTGACAGGTGATGCTATTTGAAGCATTTGTTACCGTGAGGATAGGAGGAGGCGTGAGGCGGGGCCCCTAGCAAATTCACCTCCCTCTGTCCCCAGAGAAAGTTTCTGAGCTTCGTGGAGCTCATGTGCCTCAAGCACGTGGCTTTTGCCTTTCCCTTTTCCCGTGACACAAGTACACCTGTGGTAGCAAACGGGTCTGGAACACATGTGCTGCAGCTGAGGATCCAGCAAACCATACCTGAGTGTGCACTGTGTGCCTGGCACTGTGTTCCACCTGGGATGTGCATGTTTGGTTTAATCCTCCCTACCACCCCGCAGGATATGTATATTTCTGTCCACAATTGCACAGATGTGGAAACTGGGTAACTGAAAGGCTAAGTGCTAAGATCGCTGAGCCAGTCTGTGACTCTAGCAGAGGCACTTATCCAGGGGAGATTTGGTCCCTCACCTCTGTCCTTTAAAAGGTGGGCAGATTGGCCAGGAGCAGCCAGACTCACGTTAAATACCTGTGCTGTTTGATTTCCTTTTATTTTTCTCATATTTGTTCTCCTTGGAAAAAGAAATGGACCAGGAAAGGTAGATGGAAATCTCCTTTAAGTCGAAAAATGATCCTAACGCATAGAATCACTGGAAGCACTTACCTTGCCATGGAGAAGGAAGGGGTCGTCATCACGTGGATGTTAGCTCTCTTAGCAGCTTGTTTGTGCCCTACCTACATCTGAGTGCCTCGAATCCACCTTCATGACAAGTAAAACAGGGACCTCAGAAAGCAAGGGGAGGGGAAAGGGAATTGGAGCGCCTCCTGGCCATTGTAGAGAAGGCCTTAGATTTGCCTCTGCTTGTGCATAAAGGCACAAAAAGAATGAAGCAGACAAACATTCTCATGGACCTGCAGAAACAACAAACTGCATTTTGCAAGTTTTCCCATTTTCCCCGGAAATGTTATGCTCTAAAGAGCCTGGTGCTTAGCTGCAGGGAAGTGTTTGTGGTGTCCAAGTAATGACTGCTGCCCAGACAGAGGAACTACTTGCACCTCCATTCACCCAATCCCATCCACATCTTTTCCCAGGGTACCCAGGCTCATAAACTCCAGCAGATCTCCACCTGGGCGTGCTGGGGTCTGTGCCATAAGAGGCAGCATGTGGTAGAAAGGGGCTCAAATGAGAGTTAGCAGGCTTCAGTTGAGTCCATCTCTGCCACTTCCAAGTCGGGTTAACTGGGTAAGCTAAGAGACGCTAAAACCCTAGAAACATCACACAGGGTACGTGTGAAGAACAAATGCAATGGAGCTCAAGAAAGGGCTTGGTGAGCTCGAAAGCACAATTCGATGTCACCCCTTCCCTGACTAGCACGTGGGCTCCCCAGGTTGGACCCCCTTTCCCTCTCTCCTGCATGTCCATTGCGGGCTTCAGTGTGTCTGGTGGACAGGTAAGTGCCCACGTCGCATACAGCCCTGGGACCTCTGCAGAGGTGGCCGCGAGGAACCACGCTTCCTTCTTTGCATCCAAGTCATCCTTCCACAAGTACAGGACCTCTTTTTTGTTCTCAATCGAGAATATTAGGAGAGTTCTCTACTCTCACTATGGTGGCTCCCTTGCCTGTCCCATGCACCCTGGCAGGAGGTCAGTGAGGGCAGGATGGGGAGACCAATCTCTCTCTCTCCCTGACTCTCCACCACTCTCCCCCACGCTACCCCCATCTCTCTCTGCCTTTGTGTATGTCGGTGCTTCTCTGCTTCTTCTTCTCTGTCTCTCCCTCTCTCTCTGCCTCTCTCTGTCTGCCTTTGTCTCTCCTCTCCCTCTCTCCCTGCCTCTCCCCACTTTCTCCCTTTCTCTCCCTCTCTCTCCCTCTGCCTCTCCCTCTCTTTCTCCCTTGTCTCTGCCTCTCTTTCCCTCTGCTTCTCCCTCTCTCTCTCTCCTCCCATCTCTTCCTGTCTGTCTGTCTGCCTTTCTCTCTCTCTCTCTGCCTCTGTGTGCATGTTTGTGCTTCTCTGCTCTCCCCTGCACTGTCTCTCCCTCTCTCTCTCTCTCTGCCTCTGTGTCTGCCTCTCTCTCTCTCTCTCTCTCTCTCTCTCTCTCTCTCTCTCTCTCTCTCTGCCTCTGTGTGCATGTTTGTGCTTCTCTGCTCTCCCCTGCACTGTCTCTCCCTCTCTCTCTGCCTCTGTCTGCCTCTCTCTTCTCCCCTCTTTCTCTCTCTCTGCTCTGTGTGCATGTTTGTGCTTCTCTGCTCTCCCCTGCTGTCTCTCCCTCTCCACTGTCTCTCCCTCTCTCTCTGCCTCTGTGTCTGCCTCTCTCTCTCTCTCTCCCTCTTTCTCTCTCTCTGCCTCTGTGTGTGTGCTTCTCTGCCCCACCTCTCAGCTGTCTCTCCCTCTCTCCCTGCCCCTCTGTCTCGGAGGCTCCCTCTCTCTCTCTCTGCCTTTCTCTCTCTGCGTGTGTGTGTGTGTGTGTGTGTGTGTGTGTGTGTATGCGCGCGCGCGTGCACGCTATAGCACTTGCTTCTCTGGCCGCCCCCCCTTCTCCTGCTGTCTCTCCCTCTGTCTCTCTCTCTCCTTCTCTCTCTGTTTTTCTCTCTTTCTCTCTCTCAGTCTCCTTCTTTCTCTCCCTTCCTCCCTCCCTCCGCAACCACCACCCTCCAAGCAGGCTCACATTCCAGCTGCCACTGTGAGGTGAGCACAGTCTCCACCTGCTTCAGGGGTATGCTGCACAGAGTGGGGAATCTGGCCCGGGAATTTCAGTTTGCTGTGGAGCCATTTGGCTGTGGAAATGGCTGTTCCACTCAAGAGTGAGCACTTTGTCATAGAGACAGCATCTGTTTTGCCTCATGGGGAAAGCAGAATGATAGTTATTCTTTTTATTATGAGAACACCAGGCTGTGCCAAGTACATTATTTCCATGCAGGGGAATTTTACTAACACCATTGCCCTCCCTCCTCCTCCCCATCCCGTTCCTGCCCAGCATTCTCCCTCTTCCGTGACAGTGTCTTGCCCCAGCCTGAGATTGCAAATGTCCTTTCCTGGCATCACACTTATGAAGGCGAATGAGAAGACACTTACCATTTTTATGAATTATATTCTGGGATTTTTAAAAAAACAAATTCACCTCAATTCTAAGAGACTATGGAATCAAATTCATCATGGAAGACTCCCATGATCACCAGGTCAGTTTTTTAGTAGATTGATAATGGACCTGTCACTCTTTGCCATTTCCACCCAGGAAGATCAAAGTGCGAATTTGAGGGACCGTCTGTATGTCCAAAATGGAAAATGGCATTCATGGGACTACTTCTTTCTTTTATTTCATGTGTAACTCCTTAACAGAAAACAACTCCTGCACATGGAGGGCCTTATCAGACACGGGACAAAGGCCACAGTATTAGCCTCAAGTGCTCATAGCCTTTCCTTCACCAGGCCCATCCATTCTGTGCACTGTTGGCCCCAGGGGAGACGAGACAATATTCTCCCTTCCAGGTCATCTTGGGGCCCAGACCACCAGCCGGAGAAATGATGTGGAGAGAGCAGGCAGGAGCTCCTTTCCAGGTGGGAAACGCAAGGCAGGCAGCCTCCTCTAACGGCGCTGCCGTGGCTGGATTGAAATTGTGCTCACTTCCACTCAAGTGAGCAAAGCACATCTGTGTTGCATATTTTCTACTATTGATCTTTCCTTCCTTAGTCTCCCACCCCATCAGCTCCACTGGACATCAAGGGAAGGGAAAAGGCCTTTTCAACATGTCCATTCACAGGAAAGCAGTGTCGTAAGGCTTCCGACTGCCTCCTTCCTCACTGCAGCTGTCATGTCAAGCGTATGCTCCTTCTTTGGCCTGTCCCGCCACAAGGGCACCCAGTGGGTGGGATACACATGGAGTTACCATGTCCCCAGGTGGGTGAGGGAGACACAGGTCACAGGTCTGTGGGCAGTCAGTATAGGCCCTGCTGTCTGGGCCCCTGCTGGCCCCTGCAGCAATGGAGTCCTCTCTGCCAGGCCCAGCTCACCTCTGCTCCTGAACCCTGCACCTGGCATCTCAAGGTCCATGTTGTCTCTGTCAGGCCTGGCATCTTTCTCAGCTGCTGACATGGCCTTGCTTTGGCTCTCTCATCTATTCTGCAGCCCTGGTGGATAGGGTCACCATGCTCCCTATGGCAAGGCCCCTGGGTGCTTACCCTCACCTAGTGGTTCTGACCTCAGCCCCTCCGTCTCTCCTCTGCTACGTGGGAACTCCAAGACACCTTCCAAGATACTCAAGGTCAAAACAGACTCATGGTCAATAAATTCTGAGCCTCATCTGTCTACATACACCCACCTGCCATACCATTTATTCTGATGTGGCTGTAGGATGTTTCTGGCAGGACCCCATGCAAGATGGTGTCGGTCTAGGCCCACTGGGTGAAGGGAAAGGGCCTGTTCACTTTTAGCTTTGCTTCCATCCCATTCAATGCCACCCCCTTTCAAAAGTCTGCACTCAGAGTGAGGTTAATGCAGCAGACGGGGTTTGGCTGCTACCTTATTCTCTCTCACAATCCACAAGCCAGACAGAGCCACTTCCCCAGGGTCATGCTCCTCCCTTCCAAAGGGGCTTCTGCCCTGTCCTCTTTCCCAGAATCATAAGGACTGTTGGAGCAAAATGAGAAAGCCAGCTTACAGGTAAGAGAAAAATCCAAAATATTCTAAGGATACTTCCTCCCCTCAAGCTTTCTACTAAATAATAATAATGACATACAGTTGTGGTCATTGTTAAAGAAAAAGGAAACACAGCCATCCATCTCAACATCACTGAATTTAAGTAATCAATGACTATAATAAGAAAGGAATGATTTAGGGGAAATTTTTGTAGTGACAAAATGTTAGAACTAGAAGCCCCAGAATCATATAAAACATTTAGGACCTTTCTATTTTGTAGATGAGAAAGCTGAAATACTGCAAGTTGAAATGACT